GCACGGCACGTAGCCGCTGTTTTACAAGGCAATGCGACGAGCCAGTGTAGCTTTATTACTACGACAGTTATTAAAATTTGTTAGGGTGATAATGCCACTCGCGCGACACAAAACAATTGCTGTAAATCTGAAATGTAGCGTTCATTTCATTGTGTTCGAATCTGCCTTTTAGAAGAAGCCGATTTGCATGCAATCCAATAGTAAATACAACGCCAGATTTTCTTTATTATATCGCTCATTTTTATCATTCCGCTACAACTCAAAATTTTCTAGAAAATATGTTTCAACGCTTTGAATTATTAAAATTTCGTAATATTAATTTTAAAATATAATTTTAGTGTAATAATTAATTATAAAAGTATGTTCTTTAAAAATGTTTTTCCTTTCTTTCTCTTTGTGTCTCTTATTTTGTACGTAACTTAATAGTGACAATTTTTAATTGTGTCATTAAAATGTAGCAAATAAGTGATATCATCCATATTCCTTCGAAGCGTTTTGTTTTAAATTTTTCGTCTGTATACTGTAAAAAGTAAAATGTTAATTTTAACTCAAAGACGTTGAGTGTTAATTTTAACATTTTTGCATGTCTCAGAAAATCTACTCAACGTCTTTCTGAGTTAAAATTAACATTTTATTTTTTACAGTGTAGACAAATTTTATTCGTACAAAAACGGTCCTGTTTCTAATCTAACTGTGTGATGCAGCATTATATTATAAATTATTCTCTAACTTAAAAAATTCTTGGGAACATTAATCCTACAATTCACACCTTATAATTAAATGTTCTAACATTAGATTCGTTAAAAGTTACGATCTCTGACGTTATATCCAGATCCACAGGCTAGAGATTCAGCGGAGAAAGTGAGGAAATAAGAATAGCACGAGAATTAGCACGCATTATTCCCCGACACGATGTGCGGCGTTGTTGCGAGAACGCGCGCGAGATCGATCTGGCCGATTAATTAAATCACAGAGAAACGCTCGTCGGGCAACGGGCTTAGTTAAGGCGAAATTCATTCATTTATACAACGCACGTCTCCGAAGACCGACCGGAAACCTCCGAAAGAAGACGCTCTGATTCCCAAGATAATCCGCGCGCGGATTTTTCCGAGCTCGCTCCGTTCTCGTTAGTGGCGCAATTACAGGGGAAAGTGTTTCGGCACGGCACGAAAATTACCTACGTCGAAGTAGATCGCGGTATTTGCGCTTTAATGACATCGCATTTTACGCAAACTTTCCGCCGCTCTTGCTGTCCCCCCCCCCCCTCTCCCCCCTTCCCGTTCGCCGCCGTGCCTCTTTAATCAGCGGCGCAAATGGTGGAACGCGAACTTTCAGACGTGTGCAACTTTTAATGGTTTTGCCGAGCGTGTCGTGAATCGTGATCCAGCCGTCTATTATAATTGTCCGACCAGCGTGCTTTTAATGCGCCACTGAGTCGCCATCTTTTTAAGGTGGAATAAGTTTTGAAGCCTCCCTTTGGAGGAGCGCGACAGTTTATTTTTGTCAATTATATGGGCGAGGAAGCTTTTAATATTTAATTCCTTAAAGCTGCGGGAATGTAAAATATAGAAGCGGTAGTTTATCAGAGTTGCGTTTCGAGACCGACAATTGTTCGGCGCGCAGTTTAGAAAGGCTATATAAATTCATGTGAAATTATATGTAAGCAACTAAGATCCCAAGCTAGACTGTCATAGGCTTCGTATTCATATTAGTTATATTAATATAAAAAAGTTTCTATGCGAACAATAAATTTCAATGATCAATAAACAAAGTGTATGTACAAAAAAGCAGATAATTATAGAAAATAAGTTCACGTGTTATAAATAATGAAATATCTTGTAATCTGTTGTGAAAAGTGGATTTTTTTAAGTGCTCGTGAAAAATTTCTCGTAAAAATACGTTGGACTGATGGAACAAAATTTATCGGAGCACGCTGAACGTCGTTTTTCACACAATTTTCTCAACGCATAATGGTATAATATTCTTTGTCGCGAACTGGCGACGAAGCTGGTTGTTAATATTTTACTGTTTACCAATATCTATCAGTTTACGATCGCGGTTTATAACGCTCATGGCGGTCGGTAAAAATCTTGTTCCTCGAAAGAGTAAATTTGTTTCTTCGACTTAAATGAAACGTCAAAAATTGAATATAATAATGTAAAATAACTAACTGAGAAAGACAAAATGAAAAATTGAAAAATGTAATACGGTAAATAAATATTTCTTCAATAAAAGAAGATAATCAATAAAATTAATGATTCTTGTACCAAATAGGATAAATGTGTACACTTAACAAATATTTACTTTGAACTGTTTAAACAAGCATTTATTAAAATATATTATTTTTTCAGTGTAAGCAAATATATTATAATTTATAACACTATCCAGAGTAAAAATTAAAAAATATATGTTTACAGTTATTATGAACGATATGTAATATTATCTTTTGATTACAAAAGTTCTTCTCTAAATATTTTCAACGTCATTTCTCTGTCATTAGTAAGAAATACGCATATATTAAAAACTATTTTATACTGTTTTCATCACGGAAGATAAATAGTATTGTCATTTGGGACTCTTTGAACTTTGCAAGCGTAACTCTAAAATAAGCTCGCACCCAATCGAGCAGCAATCGCCCTCCTTTCGATCAGCGAAAGTACTCGCCAAGGGTTAAGGTGACGACGAATTACAAGCGCGGGGCTTTTAATGCCGTGCAGCCACCGGCACGCGCGCGTCGCGACGCTACGCCCCCCAGAGGCAGAGAAAATCGGCCGCGACCGCGCGCGGCCGCCTTGAAAACCGGCCGGTTAAGGTAAAGAACTTGTCGTGTCGCGCGTATCGATTTCGCGGTCAGCTAGTCGGCCAACTCGCGGGCTCGGGGATTGGAAACGCGTGGGGGAAGGTTGAAAATCTTCGCGTGACCGGTCAGCGCGGTCGGCCTCGCACCCTCGCCCTGCCACCCTCGTCGGCTGTACGTGTCCTGCCGCGACTGCGGCAGCCGCAATCACTGACCGAAGTCATTGGAGACCGGCCGCCGGCGATGGCCGCTCGTTGACTTTTTGACGAACCGCCTGTCGCCGTCCTATTTCCGCCCTCGTAAATTCTCGCGATCGTCCTCGAGCGGCTTTTAAATCCTCGCCGGATGTTCCTGCTCGTCTCCGCGCGGGTCTGCCGTCGGCGTGCCTATCGCGAGTTCGAGATCGGCGATCGCGTCGTCGACGTACACCGCTCGCCCCCGGGAAAGCTCCCGAAGAGTGCTTCTCCATCCTGCGAAGCTGTTGCGTGCAGGTAAGGGCTTCCCTCTCGATTGCGATTGCGTGCGCGGACAATGGGATGGGACCTGCGCGGCTTTGGTGTGCGTGAGGATTTTGTGTTACGATTAGCCCCGCATGTGAGGAATCTTCCGTTCTTCGTTGATTGCGGCTTGACCCGCGGGTGGCCACTCGGAGTCACGAAATCACGTTTCGCCACAGTAAATAGGGATTTACACTCTTAAATGCGCACTTACAATGGCTTGTCATTGTTGTCCGTTTAGTTTTAAAATATATCGAAAATACGTAAGTCAACATTTTGTTATTATTTTAAAAAAGACTACGTCTTTCGTACAGAATTTACGCCTTGAAACCAAATCTAAATATTACTTCTCGAAAGTAATTCGCTCCTTGAGAATCTAGTTAACGTAATCAATACTCTCTCTCTCTTTCTGATATTACTATACATTTTACATATGACTCATATGTATGTATATACAGTTGTATGTAGGTGCTAATAGTCTATGCAGCTAATGTAAAATCGATAATAATCTTTCAGGAATAAATTTTGTCCGACATTAACGCTGCATAAAGTGAATTAAACGATAAGTAATATACTTATTTTTCTCATCACTTTCTTATTTTAAGGAAAAATTATTTAACATGCAATTGTAAATGTAAATATAAGATGAAAACATTCAAGGACCCTTAATATAACAATAATCGATACAAATCAACAAGGGCGATGTAAGAGTCAAAAGATAAAAATTCATTTAAAAATAATAATGCATTGTTAAAATTTGAAAAGTAATGAAATACAAATATAAAACTAAAAAAAATATATAATTATAAAAATTACTTAAAATTAATTACATGAGGAACATAAGCGTGAGTCTGATGGAGACTCACAGGAGTAAAATAAAGACTTGTACGATCGAATTTCTATACGATTTTGTCCACTGTTGTTTAACGTCTGAGGAGGGCTCAAACCTATATAGAGCCGAAACTGGTAGCGCTTACGTTCCTCATGTAATTAATTTTAAGTAATTTTTATAATTATATATTTTTTAGTTTTATATTTGTATTTTATTACTTTTCAAACTTTAAAACATTACAATAATTAATAAATATTCTCAGCTCATATAAAATTAAAAATTATAAAAATTAGCTCATTGTTTTTTTGACCTGGGAAAAAAGTATACTTATTTTTTATAATTTTTAACATTACATTATTATTTTTAAATGAATTTTTATCTTTTGACTCTTACATCGCCCTTGTTGATTTGTATCGATTATTGTAAATGTATACTATAATCTTGTACTCTATCAAGAATTATCTATGTATGTACCTACATATATTATATTCACTCCTGCCTAAATATTTTGAAAGAACATATATACCATTATATAAACTAATAAATGTGAATAAATAAATAACAATAAATTATGAACTCTTTAATATAACACAATAAAATAATAATATAATATATACATATATAAAAGGCTATAGGAGTCAAACGCAGATTATTATGTTGCGAAATTAATTTGAACTATATTATAAACAGTAATCAACTTATGATGAAAATTGTACGTTTCGACTTCTATAGAGCTTTTATATATGTTATATTATTATTTTAATAAATATGATTTAAGTGATCAGAGTTATTCAAATTAAATGCATGTTTTACTCTTCAGCTTTACTCTAAAAAAAAAAATAATAAACAACTGCATGGGCCGATTTTGTTGTAGTGTCCTGACATCCAGTAACGAGAAGCAAAGCGAGAGTAAAAAATTGTTGGCACGTTGGAGGAGATCCTTGAGTCAATACTGCAAGTGCTGTTCCAGTATGAGGTGCTTGGCTTGCCGCAGGGATCCCAAGGGTCTCCTGTGGACTAGAAAGCAAGACAGGACGACGGTGATAAACGCTATCTCGTCGCCTGTTGCAACTCCCGTACTCGACGCACCACCGGCTACAACAAACGCGTTGTCGTGCTGGTCGAAATTAAAGGCACGATGCAGGTATCGTTTGAAGACTTGAATCTCACTTCGGTCTAAACGCCACGTCCTTGTCGCATATCGAATAATAATAACATTCACGTCACGTAGGTCGTGTCAGGATAATATATAGTACACAATTCCGAAGAAAATAAAATAATTCAATTTTTTAAAGGTGTTGTTCAACTGTGATCTCATTGTGTGACGAGTATTGAACGGAACCAAAGAGGAAGAAGTAAAACTTGAACTTTGAAAATTCGATTCAAACTTTATTTCTTTAAAAATTATATTTGAGAAATTCGTATTATCTTATTCTATAAATACGTATAGAATATTATTACACATCGAAAGAGTAGAACATTTTTAAGGTCAGATAAAAATGACAACAGAAAATTTGCATTAGAAAAAATATTCTTTGTAAAAATATCACACGCGAAGATATTCCATCATATTGGTTTCTAGTTTCATTTGGATCACTCTGCAACTTCGGTTTTTAGAAATCTTTCAGTTTCAGTTTATTCAAACGTGTGTTTCTCGTTATATATTCTCGTAAAAATTTACATTCACCAGACGAGACATTAATTTTTTAAATGTCTTTCAAGAAGCGACGCGATAATTAGAAAAGAGACCATTATACTCGTTGAAATTTCTTTTTAACTTTTATTGTTACGTCATCGAATTAGAGTCACTGTGAGCTTTGTAAGAATTTTGAAAATTGGCAAAATTTTAATCGCGTTGTGAAACATTTTACTGACAGATGCGCTCGTACGAGAGATCAAGAATCTTTATCTTTACGAGAGAGATTCAGGGGGATGAAATGTTGTACGAGAAAGTCGAGGATCGCTCCTGCCGAGCCTACCGTTTGCTGTCCGCCTGAGAGAAGATGCGGCGTGCTCTGCCGTCGTGCATTCAGCTGTTGCAAATGCAACTGCAAACGCGCGGACGCACAGCAACGCACAAGAAACACACGTGCCAAGCACAGCCTTACGAGCGTGGCGCCGCCACCTTTATCGGAGGTACACGAATATACTTCTTATTGAAATAAAAATCGTTACATTGAGGAAGACGAGCCATCATTTTGCATCGTTCAATTTCTAAACGTTTTATAAATAGAAAGAATATACAGGACTCTTAATATTTAAAAAACAAAGAAATAAAAAGGCAATCAAGAGCCTAAAACATAAATGTGATCTAATAAATCATTTAATATAACATAACGAAATCACATAAAATTAAGTAAAATAAATCACAACAACAATACAAGTAAATTAAAATTAAAAAAGAATTGACAGTTAAAAACATTATTATTAGATCACATTTATGTTTTGGACTCTTGATTGCCTTTTTATTTCTTTGTTTTTTAAACATTTTATGTCTTCTCGTTTATTCGATTTTGAAAGTTTAGTTTCAGTATTGAAATTTTCTTGAAATATTGTTTGGAGTACTATTATTTCTTCTGCAAAGTTGTAATTATTTGAACGTCACAAAAATTGCAATTATAATTTTAATAATATAATAATTTTTTTAAATATTTTTTTACTTCATTATTTTTAGAAACTTTTTACATCAGAGACTTGTATAAAACGAAGACAAAAAGTTTTAAACCGAGTGAATCAATATTTTTAAAATAGACATCTTGTGCAACACATTGGTTCACGACAGAGACAACGATTCAGAAAATATTTCTGGACAGTTTTTCTTATTTATGTACAAAAACTCGATGTCGTAGGAACCGAAGGCTAAAATACCGGATGTCTTGGTGGAACACAATTCTGTCATGCGAGGCGCCATTCCTTGTCTGCCGGTCCCCCTCGCTTGGTTTTGTCTTGTGTGGAATTTTCTACTACCCGGCACTGGTACGGTTAATTTAAATTTAATTGATACCACCGTCTCTCGAAAGCAGAGTCTTCTATCGAGAGGCAATTGTCGATTTTCTACAAATGTTCGAGTGGTTTATCCCTTACGATCGGTATTCTCTCTCTGATAATTTAATCGAATTCGTTTAGGAACCGTTTGGAGCGGCCTGTTCAATCTGTGCACTGGACAGCCGAGATTCTCTGCCGTCGCCGGAGCGAGATCACGACTCGGTGCATTGATTGTCAATCTCATTGTGGGCGTGGGCCAAATGTTTACCGTTCTGTTCTGTCTCGTTGGATGGGGCTGGAGCATTTGGTGGGGCGTCACCATGGTCCGCTTAGCTAGTAAGCATTCAGTGGTATAGCTTAAATAAAACCATCTAACTACTGAATCACTAGTCAAAAAAAAGTATTCGAATTTATTCACAATAAGCATTGAATTGTCTAAAACTATTTCTTTAAATAAAATTACACTCTATATATATCTATTTTGTTTACGATTATGAGTGATTTTAAGCATTTAATATTTCTTAAGCATTACTTTTTTATCGAGAGAAAAAAGCCATATTTATTCAAAATTAATCGGGAATTATTGCCAAAGAATTATTATCGTTGCTAATTTATGCTTCTTGCAACCTGATAGATAAGATTTTGGAACTCTAGACTAGAACGTAATAAAATTTCATTTTGTTTATCTATTTGGTTTACGATTATGAGAGATTTTAAGCATTAATACATTTTTTAAACATTACTTTTTTATTGAGAGAAAAAAAGCCATATTTATTTAAAATTAATCGGGAATTATTTCCAAAGAATTATTATCGTTGCTAATTTATGCTTTCTGCAATCTCATAGATAAAATTTTGGAATTCTATGGACTAGAATGTAATAAAATTCCACAGCACCTGACGCGACATATAAAGCGACATTAAATTACAGGGAAATATAAGCGGTTCAAGATTTCGGAGGCCACTAACAACGATCCCGAGGCCAGAGGTGGCGAGCCAGCTGCTCTACCGCCTGGCGTGCCGAGTCAAGCCCTGCGAGGGATGGAGAGGGCACGATGATGCGCATTTTTAACAAAGAGGAGAGCGCGATCGTTCTCCGATTATCAAAAAATATTTTGTATCTCGTTCGACAAGTGTCTTCGCGTATTGCTTAATACCGATTGTTCCGAATCGAAATTTATATTACTAACGCGAATATAAGCATCTTGTACAAAAAAAAAAAAAAACGGTTATATACATATATATTTGTGAAGACAATTAGTCGATAAGAACTTCCCTCGGCTGCGATGGAGATCAATTAAGAAGCGACAATAATATGCCAAGCCATACGAAGTAAAGTTCGAAAGAGGCTGCAAGTTATTAAAATGGCACCTTTTGTTTCTGTCTCGTGCCTTTTTCCTTCCATCATATTTATTTTTCGTTATTCTTAAAAGGAAGGGAAATCTTTTTATCGGAGCTAATAATAAAATCTGTAAGTATAAGCCGGGAATCTCGTACCGCACAAAAACTCTTTCTCTCGCGTGGCTTAGCATGTTATTGCATCAAAAAATCTTCAATTCAATGAGAAATTTTCTCGTAAGGAAGTATCGCCGAGATTCTAGTGCAGGATGCTAGTAAAGTCTCTATTCTATTTATCCGAAGTCAACATTACGGCGCTTATATTGTGCCTTTTTAAATTTTAATAAGGTATGTTATGTCGCGTTTTATTTCTACACACTGAAAAAAAAAACTAAATTTTAATAAATATTAATAAATATTCATTTGAACACAGTTCTGAGTAAATATTTACTAATGTAAATATATATTTATTTGATGGAACAGATGATTTAACTATTATTTTTTATTAAGTAAAAGTTTATTTAGTACACATCAAAGAGATACATATATTACAATTTAGTAAATCTTTCTTTTAGTGTAAAAAATTATTTCTCGCTCTCAATAAATAATTGGCATTCTTAATGATTTAATTAACCGACGCAAATACTGTAATTTCAGCAAAGTTAAAGAAAAGCTCAGAGCTTCTTCATCGATCTAAAAAGATTTTGTGAATCTCGACTCTTTTTTTTTTACAATTCTCTTGCAGCGCTATTCCTGAAAATTTTGCTCTCGCAGGAATCAAGATCGATGCTTTTACAAAATAAACAGAGACTTTGCGAGTGCCTCGCATTTTTATACGCAGCGGAAACCTTCGTTCTCGTCGACGAAAGGTTTTAGTTTCTCGTAAAAACTGGCGGTTGTCCGCGCGTGATGCTCGCGGCCTATCAGAATCCGAAGACGTCCTTAAAGATTAATCGCTTTCAGTGAAAGCATCATTAACCCGAGGCGTTCTTTCAAAATGTACTCGTTGCGTCGATGAGGATGATTTACCGAGGAATAGATCGTATTTGGCGACGGCGGGAAACTGTCGCAGTGTCGAATTGGAATTCCGGTGTGCGCGCGAGTGGATATTAGACTTATGTACGGATAGCTAAGCTTGGGATCCTCGGGATGGGATTACCGCAATCTCCGGAGACGGCGGTCTCGAAGCGACATATCGATGGGATAATTACGTTTTGAAAAAACGCGCTTTATATTTTTACAAGCGCAACACACACATACACATTATGTACAAGTACTCGAGACTTACCCCAATTAGACTTATACTCTTGTAAATATGAAAATACATTACTTACGTCAATTTTTAATGTAACACCTGCGTGCCTTTGGAAATTCTCTTGCCTTCCCCTTTCGTCTTCCTATATCTACGATCGCTATTATTTTTCGCTGGTACATTTTGTTTATCTACTCTCTGCTACATAGCTATATGTATGTATACATATACAGGATGTTCCAGAATGACCGCAAAATATTTCGTGTGCCGATAGAGCGAAGTAAACTGAGTTAAAAAGTCCTCTACCATTTTACAATTTTCGCAGTAGTTATTTTTACCAACGTGAGAGAAAAAGAGGTTTCAAAAAATTCTGAAAAAATTCTTGGAGCTCTACGAGAAGAAAATAAGTAATTGTCTCTTGTATTTTTTTTTTTTATAAAGTTGATAGTAGTTGAGTAAAAAATTATTGAAGACCAAAATTCGGCGATATTTAGTAACTAACATCAATAATATCTTATTAACTATTGCGAAAATTGGAAAATGGTAAAAGACTTTTCAACTCAGTTTAATTCGCTCTATCGGCACATGAAATATTTTGCGGTCATTCGGGACACCCTGTATATATATATATATATATATATATACACACATACACACGTATGAATATATAAATATATATATTTTTTGAAATAAATAAACGGTCTAAATCGAGCTAAATGAATTAAATGTGTTGATCTTAAATTTCACAATATAAATGAGAATAATTCATTTAGACTCGACATAGACCGTTTATTTATTTTAACTTGCATTGCAAAAAACGAGCGAAATTTATCAATATATTTTTTAATTTTAAAACGGGACGTCACGCAGTTGGATTTTTCAACTCTCCTTCTACGTGCAAACTGGTTAAAATGGAAGAGGAAACAAGTTAAAGTGGCAGGGAAAAAGGACAGCAAACGAAAGCTGGGATTTACGAGGAAAAGCTCATTTGGCAGAGTTTCGCTGTTGTTCGTTATCGTCTCGCGCATTATGACGTTACAAGATGCTCAAGTTCAGAGAAACGTGCGCATGCTCGTGAAATACGAAGGATCTGGCGAAACTACTGCCTTTCTATAACATAAGCATGCAAATCGATCGCATGCCCAAGTAGCAGCTCTATTTCAAGCAAGAAATTGTGGTCTTATCAAGATCGCGTCATTTTCTTTTTTTTTTTTTTTAAAGGCCTCGCGAACCAACAGAATTCGCCGGTTCGCGCTTCGGTTTCACGCGTGAATTCGATCATGCGTGTGTGAAGATGTTGGTCCATGTAGTCCGTGTGATCTGTGTAGATGGACGACCGAGCCGCCTGTTTCTGATCGATCTGTGTGTATGTCGATCCGATTCCGGGTATTCTTTTCAGCTATATGAATCCTGGAACTGTTCAATTGTCTCGTTAGTTTTCGGAATAGATTTCGTTGCGCCGACAAGTAGTGACATTGGCTGCGTGTTCAGCAGACAAATTAGTGTGGTTCTTTAGTATAATTGGTCCGTGCCTTCAGTTCTTCTCCGAACTTATAAATATGCCAAAAAAATTTAGTAAATCTTAATACATATTTATTTAAATCAAAATAACAAATTTGTATATCAAATAAATATGTGTGTTTATTACATTTAATAAATATTTATTTAAAATTATTCAAACAAATATTTATTAAAATTTAGTACTTTTTTTCAGTGTGTCATCCAAACCAATTCTAATGAAGCACCATCGAGCACTTATTGCTTTATTTGCTGAACGCAGTCATTGATGCACAGAAAGAACGATTTCTTTGTTGAAGCATGTAAATATTTATCTAAATACAGAAAGAAATTTTGTTGGACCATCAAACTGGTTACATGGAATGTCAAAACTTTTTGCAACGTTATCGTCCTTTTCGAATTTCTTACATAATTACTTTGATGGTTCAACAAGATTATTCAACAAAATTTTCAGATCTATATCTAGCTAAATTTTTAGATACTTCATTTAAAACCGTTCTTATCGTGTTCGTCGTATAAACTCTATTAGCATGGAGTTTAGTACCAGATCGTCTCCTTCAGAGATATCGCAGCACGAAGACATTAGTATAACAGAATATATATTTTCATCATCTTATCGCGAACAAAATCAACATCAAAAGGGAGTGAAAAACGTAACGCTATCGCGAATGAAAGGGAGAAAAATTAAAAAAATTAAAAAAAAAAAACCAGGCGCGATCGATTACATTGCGTCATCAAACTGCGTTATTTCTCTTTTTTTTTTAGAAACATTGTTTTCACAGAGATTGAAAATAATCTCTCTTTTCGGCGTGCACACAAAACTCTTTCCCTTTGATATTTTACGTTCTGGCGATCAATTTTCAGAGTCACAAAGCGCGTTCTACGCAAATGTGCGTCGGTCGTGTTAAATATATCTCTTTAGCATGGATAAACGCCGTGTCGCGGTTGTTCGTTATTCATGCCCGGGCTCTCAATCCCTATCTGGCGTGGATATATCAAGGAAAATTCGCGAAATTCGACGCGATCCAACGTGCAACACGCGCGCGAGGATGCACAAGTGCATGCACGGTAACGGTTGCGCGAATTTGCGGCAATTATGTCGGCAGTTCGTTCATTCGCTCGTGAAAATCGCGGAGGAGCGCGTGTTTGGCACCGCTATATGCGGTGATATACGCCGCGCCTTATCGGCTGCAATTTATCGCGATCGCACGTTGCAATAAACTTCTGCGCCGGTTTTACGTGCGGGAGTATCCCATCGCTGGGCTTTAATTGCGCGGCGCCTCCGGTGTTATTTCGCCACGAGCACGACGCCGGCCGCGCGATCAATTCGCCACGGTCGCCACGAACGCGGAGAAAAATTTAGTCGCTCCAATGTACAGGATGTGACGCAAAGATTCGTATCTCGAATGCATCGAGCGAGGATATATACGGCACTTGTAATCGATTACGGGCTCGCATTATGTGCTTCCTTACGAAGAGGAAAAGCATTCTTTTGTTATATAATAATTGACAAACGCAAATAACGAGCGAGAAAAAGGGAATTCAGAGCGGAATGTAAGATCGGAAAAAAATGTATCAAATATCGTTATACGATTGCAGAAAGATATAATGAGGAGGATGTATATAATTTTATTTCAGTCGCGTGAATCACAAAAGAAATTCTCGTAAGATCTCGATTCGAAGAAGGAAAAAGTATACATGTATACCGATTAACCTGCGATTAAATCTCATTAAACTAGATAATGTGGCATGGAAAACATGAGAGTCTCGTATAAAAGTATCAAACGATGTACAACGGTAAAAAAAGAATGTGCAAAGTATGCAATTATTTTTTTTAGCACGAAATTACGTTACACACGAGAGCGTATAATCGTTCAAATATACAGTAAACTATAAAAAGCATTTTGTTGAAAAAGTAATACAAGATGCATAATGATACCCGATATAGAAT